GGGTGGAGGATACGGCGGAGGCCGTCGGGAAGGCGGTTACAGCCGTGGCGGATACGGTGGGGGTGGCGGCGGTTACGGAGGTGGCCGTCGTGAGGGAGGTTACGGAGGAGGTGGTGGTGGTGGTTACGGTGACGGAGGTTACAGGGGCAGATCCGACGGAGGAAGCTGGAGAAATTGAGAATCAAATTCTCGGATGTGTAATAAGATTTTACGTCTTGAGCCTTTAGAAGAATGTAAGGTGTCGTGGGCTTGTTGTTGCTTCTGGGTTTCTTGTTGCCCTTGTCTCTAATTTTGATCGGTGGTTCTTTGTTTCTCCATGGTTTTTCTTGTTTCTAATTATATGAAAAGTACAAAATTAAAAAACAAACATATCAGACTTGGGGTTGCTTATTCCGGTTCGGTTTGCAGGTTCCATTATTTGGTTTTATAAAACATTCTAAGCATTTCATTTTTTATAGCGAAAATCACAGAAAAATACATATACTTTTATAAAACTCCCATAAAACTACTCCCAGATAAATATATGTACTATAAAATTCGTAAATAAATTTTTATACTTATCAAAACTCCCATATAAATACTTGTACTTTTGAAAAATTACCAAATAAAACATTCACTGTTGATCGTGTCACTGTTGAACCAAAAGAATGGATGATTCAGCGCTATAAAATCCGAGTAAGCATTCACGTGTTTAGCCTCGTCAGACTAACCAATTCAATTAATCGGATCGGTTTAACAAATAACCAATCCGGTTTGGTAAAAAATTCAGAAGCCCTAAAATCCCCAAATGAGAATCGGACACTCTAAATCCGAAAAAAATTAGAAACCCTAGAAATTAAAAACTCTGTGAGTACGATTTTCGGGCGAATCGCTATTTTCCTGGTGAATCGGCACTCTTCTATCGTCGAATTCTCTGTGAAGGTATGTGTTAACTCTCGACTGTCAAGTCTCGGGCTCTCACCTTCACTCTCTCTTTCGTTGGTGTAAGGGTTCGAGTGTGTGGTCTGTCGGTCTCTCACCTTCTCTTTCTTTGGTCTTTTGTAGGCTTCGAATCCATGATTCTGGGTATAGGTAGGTTAGGGTTGATTTCTGAATTATTTGATCGAATCTGGGTATATGTTCGGTCCTGGGTATATGTTAGATTATAGGTTTAGGTTCGATTTTAGGATATATAATTCGGTTGTGGATATATGTTATATTATAAGTTATGGTTTTGGAGCTCGATTTTTTAATTCGATTGTGATATAAATGGTCGTATGAATTCTGTTGTGGGTATAGGTTTTGGAGTTCGATTTTTGGTTGATAATAAGTTCATAAAATTTGTTCAAGGTTACATTTTCATCTACGTATGAAAAATGGCAAACAAAATCGATGTCAATTTTTATATTGGAGGAACACTGATAAATGTGGATGGAGAACTCAGCTACATAGGCGGATTCAAGATCAACGGAGTGAAGTTCGATCTAGATAAGTTATCTTGGTTTGTCTTTGAGAAGTTTGTGCAATCTCATAAGATATCATCTCCCATTTCTTTGATGTTGTATAAGTTGCCTCATGAAACAATGCAAGAATTGAGGGTATGTCATGAAGATGTAGTTTGGGAAGTTTGTGATATGTGTAAACTAGCTGAGGAATGGAAGAAGTTAGATATATATGTAGATCATGAGATATCAGAACCAAACGTGGTGCTAAGTCTCTCCGATAGTCAAGAGTGTCCGGATGACATTGTTGAAGAAGAAATTCAGAATGAGGATGTTTTCGAGAAAGAGTTCAGTGAAGAAGATGTTAGGAATGAAAATGTTGTACAAGAACAAGTTCAGGATGAGGATGTTAGGGAAGGATTTAGAATAGAATTTGATGTAGAAGAAGAGGGTAGAGAAGAAGAGGTTGTAGAAGAAGAGGATGTAGAAGAAGATGTTCAAAATGAGGATGAAGAAAATGATTTTTGTAGAAGGTCATCCTATGAACAACCTGCTGAATACATCAGTGATGAGGATTATGCCAATAAAGATGACGTTTATCCTCGGACACCAGAAAATACAGCAGATGAGTGGGAGTCTTTTGAAAAGCCTAACTTAGGCGGTTTGAAAAAAAGATTATCTGTTGAAGGAGAGGATTATATAAGCTTTGGTAAGACATTCAACAATGCTGAGGAATTTAAAGATGTTGGTTTCCAATACATGTTGAGTACCAAATATAACGTTAGAATATCGAGATCGGAGAAGACCAAGTATGTTGTTGTGTGTTGTATGAAGACTTGTCTGTGGCGAGTGTATTGTTCAATAGATGGTCGTTTGAATAAATGACTGATAAAAACATATAACCCGGATCACAATCACACGAAAGATGGATATGCATCATTATTGACGATGAGGCACATCGCAACCATGTTCACCGAAATACTCAGAAGACAACCTTCATACCCTGCTGCCCAGATGCAATATGATTTGCAAACAGCTTGTGAGATGACTGTGTCATTATCAAAGTGTTTCAAAGCTCGGCAAGTTGTGTTAGGAGTGTTAATGGAGGATCAACGAGTTCAGTTTGCAAAGTTATGGGATTATAAAGCGGAGCTTAGGAGATCAAATCCCAACACAACTACTGAAATTGTGACAACTTGAGAAAGGTGTACTAGTTTTCGATCGATTTTATGTATGTTTCGAGGTTTTACGTGAGACATGGAAGAAACATTGTCGTCCTGTGATAGGGTTAGATGGATGTTTTTTGAAATGGGAGCTTAAAGGAGAACTCCTTTCTGTTGTTGGAAGAGATGCGAACAACCGGATTTATCCTATAGCATGGAGGATATCGACAGTTGGACTTGGTTTGTACGTAAATTACAAGCAGACTTGGACTTGGGGAAGGACACAATATTACAATACTTTCAGATAAACAGAAGGTGAAATTTGTGTTTATTTGATTTCATTATAATTAATATGTTCAACATGTATTATGTGACTTTGGTTTTGTATTTGCTTTTAGGGTCTGATAAATGCTATTGAGAATATACTTCCATTTGCTCATCACCGTATGTGTACTCGACACATATATGCTAATTGGAGGAAGTCATTTAAAGATTTGGAGCTCAAGAGATTGTTTTGGGCAGCTGCTAACAGTTTCCATGAAGGTGAGTTTCAAAAGCATATGGAAGCTGTGAAGAATTATAATCAGCTGGCATATGAGGCATTGATCCGTTCTAGACCGAAACAATGGGCACGGACGTTCTTTAGTCTTGAGTCTAAGTGTGACGATGTAAACAACAATTTATCGGAGAGTTTCAATGGGTCAATCAAAGAAGCACGTATGAGACCTATGATCGACATGCTGGAAACTATCAGACGACAAACAATGCAGAGAATTGCGAAGCGGCAACGACAGTCCAGCTCTTGTATCACTTCATTTCCACTAGATGTAACGGACGACATCGAAGTTGTTCGACAGAGGTTAGTCTATTGTATGGCAATACAAGTGGACATGGCAAATATGAAGTTTTACAATTCGGTATAAGTTATACCAGACCTTGGTGGGAAGACTTGTGCTTGCCGGAAATGGAGTTTAACTGGAATACCATGTGAACATGCATTATGTGTGCTCAATGCAAGAAAAGACGACATTACAAGGCATGCTAGTTACTATTTTTGAGTAAGTTTGTTAATATATGTTGTAATCCTCATTTTGTTTTTCATGTATGTTTGTTACAGGTATTCTTCAGAGTTTTTGATGTACATATGAGAAAAATCTGTTACCAGTCAATGGAGAACCACTGTGGCGTAAGGTGGGAAGAGAACCTATCGGTGCACACGAGAAGCGGACGATACCCGGACGACCGAAGAAACATAACGAAAAAAGGATCCTCACGAATCTCCTAAAAAGAAAGGTCATATGACGCGTCATGGTAGGGTAATGACATGTAGTCGGTGTAAGCAGCCTGGACATAATACAAGCACGTGTATAAATGATCCGGTGAAGAATAATGTTCAGAAACGAGGACGAGGGAGACCAAGAAAATTAGAGGTATATGTGTTTCATAGAATTTTTTAAACGTTAATAAACTAATGATCAATTTTTTTCTTTGTGTAAATAGGTCGGTGGACCGTCAAGACAATCAAAAAGAACTAGAACAACGACCAATGTTTCTGTCGATTCGGTCCAATCGAGTCAAAATTCTATCCAGGTTCGTCCATCGAGTCAAGCTCATCGTCCAAGACCTAGACAGAGACAGAACCATCCCTCATCCCAATCAACTCAACAATTGCCTCTTATACTCAATCCAGCCAGAGTAATCAGCCTTCTATCCAACCCAGTGAGAGTGGTCCTCCGACTTCACACCGTCTTCGTTATCGATCCACTCGACCTCTTGGAGGACCGCGTAACCGAAATACATCCATGATATTTGTTACTCCATATACGGGTAGAGTATTTCAGGTTCCAAGGTCGGCTCCTCCATCAAACTCGGGAAACAAGTGAATTAGGTTTCGGCTATTAGAAGTTTATATTTTGGTTCGGAATTCTGTATTGACTACTCTTTTGTTTTAGATTTCTGTATTGACTACTCTTTTTTGTTTCAGAAATCTGTATCGGTTATGTTTGGGTTTTTTTAGGGTCAATCTGAACCTTTGGCATATCTATGTATTTTGTTTATCTTCAAATTAATGAATTCGCATGTTTATGGTTTCTATAAATTATCTTTCTGACTCATTATTCAACAAAAAAAAAATTAACACAAGTGAACAACGAAACATAGATTCATTACATTAATACCAACAATAAACATTAGTTTCATGATAAATCCCCACACATAAACGACTTCACTCTTTCAATAAACCATAATAATACAACCCAAACGAAATAAAAACCGCCATTCATGTGACCATTTTTTGGCAAATTGCTTTGAAATCTTCAACCTGAGCTTCAATCTTCTTAAGTCTACCTTCGATTCTATCAATCTGAACTTTCATTTTCTCATTTTGAACTTCAATCTTGTCATGACGAACTTCAATCTTCTCATTTTGAACTACGATCTTCTCATCCCGAACTTCGATCTTCTCATTTCGAACTTTGAACTCCTCTTTCAATGATTGTAGTTCTTCGATAATGGCGTCATCGACCCATTTCCACATGTGTGAATAATTTCCCTGAAACGAATCATCTTAATTCATTTACGATTCTGACATCAAAATGGAAGCAAACATATGAGAAAAATCTGTTACTGCAATAGACTTGTGAATCTGTCGAACTCATGAATCTGAAACTCCGCAAGCACAAACATTAAACATCAATCAACATAATCCAACCACAAAGAAGAACTCAACATAAACTTAAATCTAAGAAAACAAAAGCGTAGCACTCAAACATCAACATGAATGTGAAATATATGAAACATAAACCCTAAAATTTTGAAAATGGAATTCAACTAACTAATACCATACATACTTACCTAAGAACCGACGAGGTAGGATGCGAGAGATAGGCCGACGGTGAAGAATAACGATGAGTCGAGGATGAGGAGAAAGCCGATGAGGAACAGAGAGGAGAAAGCGGGAGGAATGGCGCAGGGAGATGGAAAAAATGACATGAGAAATCGTGGTTGGGAATGAGAAATAAACTTTTAGGGTTTCCATTTTTTTACCAAACCGGATTGATTATTTTTCAAACCGATCCGATTAATTGAATCGGTTAGTCCGACATGGCTAAACACGTGGATACTTACTCAGATTTTATTAGCGCTGAATCATCAATTTTTTTGGTTCAACGTTAAATGCCGTCAACAGTGAATGTTTTATTTGGTAATTTTTTAAAAGTACGGGTATTTATATGAGAGTTTTGAAAAGTATAGGTATTTATTTACGAATTTTATAGTACAGGTATTTATCTGGGAGTTTTGTAAAAATACAGGTATTTTTCTGTGATTTTCCCTTTTTTATATTGATTTTGGATAGGTGTGGAGCCCGTGGATTTTGAGGTTCCACAAGCGGTATTTCCTGATACTGTATTTGAAGCCGTTGTTAAAATTCCCCAATTCAGATTTGGTTTGGTTATATTCAGATTTTATTATTTCGGTTTTTAAAAAATTGTAATTATTCGGTTTTTATATGAACTTTGGTTCGGTTTCTTTGAAAAATTCATTTTTACAAAGAAATGATCGATATTTTTTGTTATTTTTTTATTCGGTTTCGATTTTTTTGGATTTGAAGAAATTATAACTATTCAGTTTTGATGGCAATTTGGTTTGGATACGGTTATTTTTTATTTGATTCGGTTATTCGGTTAATAACTGGTTTGGTCCTCCCTAATTTTGGATATTTGATCAGGATTCGGTTTGTTATTGTTTTTTTTTTTATAAACATTTGTTAGTTTGTTATTGTTTTATATTTGGTTTGTTTCATATTCTATTTATTTTTTAGTTTTAAAAAGATTATAACTATGAGGTGTTTCAGTTGAATTTATGTGTTGATTCGATTATAAACCAAATAAAAACCGCTTGATATGATTTCCTTTTGGCTTCGTAAAATCGAAACACATCTGTTTGGTGCCAATTCTTTAATCATTTTCTTGGTAAACAAATGGTATTCTTTTTTTCACAAACAAATGATAGTTTAGAAGAGAGTAAAAGATATCATTGAAAAAAATGTGTATTATATATATATATATTGAAGAGTAAGTGCATTCATATAGAATTTTCATGGGAATCAAAGAATATCCAAATGGTTTTTTTTTTTTTTTTTTTTTTTGAGATAGAGAGATGAGTGAGGTCCAACTATAATGTTATGTGGGGGTAGGAGTCGTAGGACCAACGACAAATTACGAATAAATACATGGTTTGGGTTTGGGCCCATAATATAGGCCCATTTTATGCTATTGGACTCTTCAGCCTTTCATTTTTCTTCTCTCTCGTTTCCTTTTGTTTTCCTCTTGCCTCACCGGATATAGAAATAAAATGAAATGGAATCGTACCGTATATATATATATATATATATATATATTAAATCAAATTCAAAATATGTGGATATGTTTTAAAATTGGAATAATTAAATTTTATGGATATAATTAGACAAGATATGGTATAACACTACGAACTCGTTCTCTATTAGTAGTAATGCATTTCATCTGTTAAAATTTTTAAATGTGATGTTTTATTTTGCATGTGATATATTATTATTAAAAAGAATAAAATAGACATATATGGAAATCAGAAGTACCACCGTGTGTAGTTGCGCGTTCCATCGGACGTGGATTTAAATGCAATTGAGTATAACACATTTATTGCCATTAACAAATTGATTACAAGAGAATCTAGACAGGATGGCAAATACCTCCCGAGTTTCCAATTTTGACTCCCCCCCTCTCTCCCCCACCCCCCAAAAGATGCCGACTTTAAAATTACATTTATACCCTTCCCGAGGCGCGTGTGTGGGCTTCGTCTTCGACCATTCTCTGCCATTCCATTTCTCTCTATATATGACACAGACGCCATATGATAATAATACACTCTTGAATCGAATCACAGTTCAATCTTTTTTTTTTTTTGGACAAAAAACGAGAAAAAGGGGGAAAAAAAGGCAGAGGATTTAGCAGACAGATCGACTGTTTCCTCTTCCTCTCTCCCTCTCAATTACTTTGGGTACTACACGTGAATCCTTGAGGGTGTTCATCAATGGTGTTCGTTTTCTGTTTTTAGTTGGATCAGTCCCACCAAACCCGGAGAAGAAAACCCTAAAATACTCCTCCCTCTTTTTGCATTCCAATTCTCCAGATTTCGCATTATATATATATGCCCACGACCTGATTTCTCCGCCGTATATAGCAAAAAAATAACCCAGATTCCTGAAAACCCTCGATTTCTGCGGAGAAAGAAGGGAGCCTCTGTTTTCGAATTCGCCATGAACGCCGAACCCGTCAATGGAGGATCCGTACAGATCCGCACCCAGGACGGGACGCGGAAGCTTCCCAATTTCTTGCAGAGCGTCAACATGAAGTACGTGAAGCTGGGTTACCATTACATCATAACCCACATGTGGAAGCTCTGCTTGGTCCCGTTGATGGCGATCGTAGCCTTAGAGGCCTCTCGGCTTAGCCCAGATGATCTCCGACATCTCTGGATCCATCTCCAGTACAACCTCGTCGGCGTCATCGTCTTCTCCGCCGTTCTCGTCTTCGGGTCCACTGTCTACATCATGACCCGACCCAGATCCGTTTTCCTCGTTGACTATTCTTGCTACAAGCCTCCATCGCATATGCAGGTCAAGTTTCAGAAATTCATGGATCATTCGAGGCTCATTGAAGATTTCGATGACTCGTCGCTCCAGTTTCAGAGGAAGATTCTCGAGCGTTCTGGTCTCGGCGAAGAGACGTATCTCCCGGAGGCTCTCCACTGTATCCCTCCGAAGCCGACAATGGCGGCGGCTCGAGAGGAGGCGGAGCAGGTAATGTTCGGTGCCCTCGACAGTCTGTTCGAAAATACCAAGATTAAACCTAGGGACATTGGTATATTGGTCGTGAACTGTAGTTTGTTCAACCCAACTCCCTCGTTATCTGCCATGATCATTAACAAATACAAGCTTAGAGGGAATATCAAAAGTTACAATCTTGGAGGAATGGGTTGTAGCGCAGGTGTCATCTCCATTGATCTTGCCAAGGACTTGTTGCAAGTTCATAGGAACACTTATGCTGTTGTGGTTAGCACAGAGAATATCACTCAGAACTGGTACTTTGGTAATAAGAAATCGATGTTGATCCCCAATTGCTTGTTCCGCGTTGGTGGAGCCGCGATGTTGCTGTCCAACAAGTCAGGTGACAGGAGACGGTCGAAGTACAAGTTGGTTCACACTATCCGAACCCATAAGGGTGCTGATGATAAGGCTTTCAAATGTGTGTACCAAGAACAGGACGACAATGGCAAAACCGGTGTTTCTCTGTCCAAGGATCTAATGGCTATTGCTGGGGAAGCCCTTAAGACAAATATCACCACTTTGGGTCCACTAGTTCTTCCGATAAGCGAGCAGCTTCTGTTCTTCATGACTTTGGTCGCTAAGAGACTGTTCAACGCAAAGATCAAACCTTACATCCCCGATTTCAAGCTCGCCTTTGAGCATTTCTGTATCCACGCGGGTGGAAGAGCGGGGATTGATGAGAGAGCGGTGATTGATGAGCTTGAAAAGAATCTGCAGCTGTCGCCAACACATGTGGAGGCATCGAGAATGACGCTACACAGGTTTGGTAACACTTCTTCGAGCTCCATTTGGTATGAACTGGCTTACACCGAGGCTAAAGGCAGGATGAGGAAAGGAAACCGGGTATGGCAGATTGCTTTCGGAAGCGGGTTCAAGTGTAACAGCGCGGTCTGGGTGGCTTTACGCAATGTCAAGCCTTCGGTCAACAGTCCTTGGGAAGATCGAGAATGACGCTACACAGGTTTGGTAACACTTCTTCGAGCTCCATTTGGTATGAACTGGCTTACACCGAGGCTAAAGGCAGGATGAGGAAAGGAAACCGGGTATGGCAGATTGCTTTCGGAAGCGGGTTCAAGTGTAACAGCGCGGTCTGGGTGGCTTTACGCAATGTCAAGCCTTCGGTCAACAGTCCTTGGGAAGATTGCATCTACAGATACCCTGTTAAGATTGATCTTTGATTCACCCCCCAGAAAAAAAAAACTCAACTTAGATTGGTCTTGGACAATGGTCGGTCCAAATTTACAGTCTGGTCTGATATTTTCTTGTCATGTCATACGCTTCTTCTGCCCACTGCTTTGATCGTTTAGTCTGTGTTAGTTGTTGATTACGAGGGTTATCTTCATTTTTTCCCTACTTGATCAAGAAAACCCGTTAATGGTATTGAATCATTTTGAAGGTTTTGTTACTCAATTGGCGCATATATGAGTGTGTAAAGCTTGCAAGAAAGTTGCAGAGAATGGGTTGAGTGCAAGCAATCAACCGCTTTCCTTGAATTTCAATTCGTTGAATCTTGGAATTGGGTAAATTAATCGAGTGTTGTTTGTTTGGTGAAGTACGTTCTGCTTCAGAAATCACAAAAGTTTGCAATAATTATAACGCAGAAACTTTATTCTAAAGTTAATTTAATTTAATTTAACCTTACTCCATGACCTTTTTCAAGGTCCAGCATTTGGGAAATAACCAGCTTTAGCAGACTTTTCAATCTGTCGTCAATCATTTACAGAATGGACCTTACAGCTGCGCAGATTTAATGTGGCAAAAAACAGTTGACTCTTGGTTGATTACTTTAACTGCCTACCAAAAAAAACAAAATCTTAATTGAGATTTAATGTCTTGTTTCATGACAAGCTTGTTGGTTGGGCCTTTAAATATGGGCCACAGAAGTTGTTGGTTGGGCCTTTAAAACCAAAACCCAATTTAAAGATGGGTCCGACCCGACCCAGCTTGTTTGACAATCATCAAGAAACAATCCCGTGTGTATATGAACTTTGTACCCTACACTATGATCTAATGCCATTCCGTGTATGCGATTGTTACTGGTGGAACGAGTTTCAATTTATGAAGGTATTATCCCATTCGGTTATTTCACAAAAAAAAATATAAACATAATATTATAAGGTACACAAAAATTCAAGTATTAGTGCCACATGGAATTTCAATTTTTTTTTATATCATATATATATATATATAGCCCATTTTAGGCATTAGACAACTTTACCAAAACTAAACCCTGAATTTTGGGAAACGTGTCAAACCAAGTTCCAGTGGCCATTACGTTATTAGACCGCATGGAATATCTATATATATATATGTATATATATATATATATATATATATATATCTATATATATATTCACAGCTATTTTTAAAATAAGTTATAATTATCTATAGATATGTAAGTAATGTTTATTTACACTTATGTAATGATACTTGCAAGTTAAATCATTGGCACAGTCTGTCGATGGAATATAACACACATGATCCACGTTGTATTTTCTTAACACCCAAGTAAGTTATATTTAAAAAAAAACTAATTTAGGTAGTCTCTAATAATTACGAAAACTTCATTGGTATTATATAAAAAATAACCTCTTTTTACTATTTTGACTTCAACATATACTTTTTTTTTCACTATCTTGTAATCCATGTCACCAAAAATATAGATTGGTCACATATTGTTTTTCATTGGTAATAACGTTAAATTTGTGATGATCACACTAATTTTTTATATTTATTTATTATATATATCACTAATCATTTAATAAAAACATTATAAATTATAAATTATGAGCAATCGAATCAATATGTGACCAGACTACATTTCTAATCACATGATCACAATCGAATAAGGGTATGTGTTGAAGTCAAAATAGTAAAGAGAATGTATTTTTTATAATGACCTGCATAAATTACACCATCTGTATCAATGTTAGGATCCTTGAAAATTACTGGATGAAGACCAATGTTATAATTGATTTCTAGTTCTACCAACTTATGCAGTGATTTCCAACTTTTAAAATTGATGCGTTTTAGTCATATAAAAAAGAGGACTGAATGCTTGCTTCAAACTATAAATAATAATAATAAGAAGAAGAAGAAGATATATAAATAAAAAAATAGATGCTTCAAATGCGGGAAGAGTAAGGCGTTTTCCTTTTATATGCCAACGAGTATACAGTTTTCCAAGATTCCTTAAAATGTGTATATGCACACACAACACCCACATGCATTTCATTATTTCTATATTCAACATGTGTATCATACGCATCTACATATATATATATAAATATATATATATATATATATATGCATGTCTTCTCCTTTTTGTTTCTCTTTCAAAAACACTCTCTCACAATGAATAACGTAAAGCTATTTTACCATTACCTAATGACACACTTCTTGAAACTCTGCTCGGTGCCTTTAATGGCGGTATTAGCCATGAAGGCCTCTCGGCTTAGCCCTAACGATCTCCAAAACCTCGTCCTCCATTTTCAGAATAGCCCTGTCATTGTGGCCGTATTCTTTGCCGTTGTCGTTTTCTTGTCGACCCTCTACGCCATGTCCCGACCACGCCCCGTTTACCTCGTTGACTTCTCATGTTATCTCCCTCCTCCTCATCTCAAGGTCAGTCTCCAAAGTATTATGGACCATGCCGCCAAATATAAGCGCAACGCGAAAGATGAGAAGAGCCTCGAATTTGTGCGGAAGATTCTAGAGCGTTCGGGCCTAGGGGACGAAACCTACCTCCCCGAGCCACTGCTCTGTGTCCCACCAAGGCAGACCATAGCCGCGGCGCGTGAGGAAACGCAGCAAGCAATGTTCGGTGCCCTGGACAATCTCTTCGAAAACGCAAAGATTGATCCTCGTGACATCAGCATACTCGTCGTGAACTCGAGCTTGTTTAACCCGACCCCTTCGCTATCTTCGATTGTTGTTAACAAGTACAAACTGAGGGGAAACATAAAAAGTTACAATCTTGGAGGGATGGGTTGTAGTGCCGGTGTCATCGCCATCGATCTTGCCAAGGACTTGTTACGTGTTCACAGGAACAGTACTTACGCTGTTGTGGTCAGCACAGAGAATCTCTCTCTGAACATGTACACCGGTTATAACCGGTCGATGTTGGTTAGCAATGCATTGTTCCGGTACGGGGGAGCCGCCGTTTTGCTCTCCAACAAGTCAGGAGACCGGAAGCGTTCCAAGTACAAGCTCGTACACTCTGTCCGGACGCATACGGGAGCCGATGACAAGTCGTTCAGATGTGTAAACCACGAACAAGACGAGACTGGCAAGACAGGAGTTTCTTTGTCCAAAGATCTGCCCCTTGTCGCTGGCAAAGCCCTCAAGACAAATATCGCCGCCCTGAGTCCACTCGTCCTTCCCACGAGCGAAAAACTTATCTTCCTGACGAATTTCATCGCCAAGAAATGGTTCAGAGCCAAGATCAAGAACTACGTCCCGGATTTCAAGCTCGCGTTCGAGCATTTCTGCATCCATGCAGGGGGTAGAGCGCTGATCGATGAGCTCGAGGAGAGTCTGAAGCTTCAGCCGGCAGACGTGGAGGCGTCGAGGATGACATTGCACAGATTTGGTAACACTTCCTCGAGCTCCATTTGGTACGAGTTGGCGTACATGGAAGCGAAAGGAAGGATGAAGAAGGGAGATAGGGTTTGGCAGATTGCTCTCGGATCAGGGTTCAAGTGTAACAGTGCGGTCTGGACGGCGTTGCGAAACGTCAAGCCTTCGAAAAACAACCCTTGGGAAGATTGTTCGGATAGGTATCCGGTGAAGATCGATCTCTGATCCACCGAAACCTCGCAATGGTTTCATGATTTGTCGGTCCAAATTATTATATATATTCTACTATATATATATATATGTGCGTTCTTTTTCGTGAAGATTTGATCATCCCTTACAATGTATTCATTTCGTGGTCCAATTATTAACGAATAAAAGCTGGTTTAGTTTGATTTATTGGGTTTCGAGAGCGTGTGTGAAACGCATAAACAATTATTCCAAGTTTGAATTAAGAAAGAATCGTATTGGATTATGTCTAGAATCGCACATTTTAATTTTACTTTAAAAAAGGGTAAGGGTATATATATATATATATATATATATATATAAAAGGTTTTCAATACAGCGCCAAATCAAATTTGCTGTCAAATATTTCATGGAGTGATACGTAGGGTTCAATATTTAATATTTTAATTGCATATAACAAAAAAAAAATTGTCTGAATTTGCCAAAACAATTTTGCTGTCAAATTCGTCTATACACTCTTGAGCATCTGTCCTCCTCCGAGAGCTATCTAGTGCTCAAAATATTTAATACTTTGCTTAGGATGTTACCAATAGAGATTTTGAATCAAATCTTTTGCTACTCAATATGTGTGTAGATATATATATATATATATATATATATATATATATATATATATATCTATGTGCCCATATATATGTTTGTGAAATGCTGGCGATTTGTACAATTTGAGGAATGTTATGAGAGCTCGGAAATTTTACAACATCAATTGACAAAAAGAAATGATAAACTAATTTGCAACATTATATTTCCATATGGAACCGCATATTAATTGGACCTACTTAAGTGGGCCGATCCTTTTTATTTGAAATATGGTAAGAGTTATGCATAATTAAAAACATATTGTACTGTTGTACATAAATACTGCATTGCATATAGTCCACTTACATATATATATATATATATATTACAATTTATTCATCGTTAAATATTTAGAAAACTGCGAGTGTTAGTGGAAAATGGAGCAATTTACGGAACAGTCTGCAACGGAGCCGATTTCTCTGCAAAAGCCACAAAGTACGTGATGTGTGTGTATCGAATACATCTAAAGTGTGACATATGCGTATGCGTATATATACGACACAGAAAAAAAGTAATTATACGTGCATCATCCTTTGGCATTTCTTACCATGCATACGCCACTACGTATTTTTTTTAATGGTGAATTGAATTAGAAGTAGATACATAATATGTTCATGTACATGCATGGATGTATTTTGCGATATGAGCTTTAATGAATCATACATTAATTCATTTTATCTCATATGATTTATCATGCGTTTGTATAAGATAAAGATAATTTCCATATATAATGTTTGAAACGAGATGGTGCACATACGTATATATATGCCTTTGTGCATTTACACGCATATATATATATATACACATAACACGTCAACATCTACACACATGTATGCTAGTATATATGTGTATACAAAATAAGAGAAACCCACAAATTAGGTATGTGATATCCCTCCTATATATGGTGATGTGCATGCTTGTCATGTATGTGATGATGGTAAGTAGCCTTCATCCTACGTGAACTTGGTCCAAATTAACCGAATCAAACAGACAGCATGGACAATTTCCGTAACACAATTCCGCTCCACTAGGGATGAGCAAAAAATCTGAATTTTGGATACAACATTGAGTATTCGAGGCAATGAGATATGAGACCGAGTAATGATATTGGAATACCCGAATTTATGGGTTCGGATTCGGGTAATTGATATTATCTCACCGGTATCCGCATATATTCGGATAATAAAAAATATCTACTAAATTTTAATAATTAGATTTTGTGTTATTTTATTGGAAAAATCTCCTAAAAAATTCTCCAACTTGCAAATTGGGAGAAATTTTTTTTTTCTAAATTTACAAGTGTGTTTAATTATTCCTGAAATACTTTAAAAAAGTATCACACTAATTCCTAATCTTGTTTAAAAGTGTCAGATTGAATATTTGACCAATATTAACTAAAACTCAATCCTACGTGGATTGTGATGTGTGGTGCCACGTCAGATTTTATTTCCACGTTAAATTCCATATTTCGCAACCAAGCTATTGTTCGAAGTTCTCGAAATCTCTCAACAATCGACAATGCCCGAATCATGATCCGAGTAGTAAGCTCCTATAACTGCACAAACATGGCTCTTCCCCAAGGCGATATGGGAGTAAGCATTGGTCCGGTAAGCAACAGGGACAAGATCCGTACCTGAAGAGGACATTAGGGAACTGAAACAAAACGCCCGAGAAATGTTCGATAAAACACCGTAGAGAAACCCATCGCCGCCTGAGAGAGAAGCCATGGACGGAATCATGTTGCTCGTGGAAGCAGAGAAAGGAGACGTAGATGGAGACGAATAATTCTGGTCCCAACAGATGACTTCTTGACGGCCACTTGTGTCAATGGCACAGAAGAAACCATCGCGAACGCCGCCGCCGCCGCCGCCGAACGCCACAGCGATGGAGCCAGAGGATCCGAATTACCCGGATCGGGGTACGGCGAGAAACGACGTTTTGCTATTTCTCAACAAGATGATTTCTGGGTTTCGAAGAACAAAGACCAGAAACCAAAATAGAGAGAGAACACGAAGAAGAAAACTTTTCTCTTGTATATATTTCACCCCTTCCAAGACCATTGTACATCTCATATTTATATAACTCAATTAATGAAAAGAAATAAAAGAATATCACAAAGGCTAAAAAGGTGTTGTAGCATAGAGTCCAGAAAACCACCCTTGCACTAACGGGTTTCTCCTTTCACAGAGGCGTCAGAATCTGTCGAAACAATGTCAGATAAAACTCCCCCGCAAGATGGAGAATACAAGTCAAGGGCTTGGTGAGGATGTCCGCAACTTGGTCAGTAGAGCGAACATGAAGCAGTTTCAGTAAACCAGAAGCAATGTGCTCTCGAATAAAATGACAGTCAAGTTGAACGTGTTTCGTTCGTTCATGTAAAATGGGGTTGCTGGCAAGATGTAGAGCAGACTGATTATCACAGTATATGTTGTAAGGTTGAGAGCAAGGCATGGCAAGATCACGCAATAGACTCGCTAACCAGATTAGTTCACAGGATGTTTGGGCCAAGGCACGATACTCAGATTCAGCGCTACTCCGAGAGACAGTGGCTTGTTTCTTCGATTTCCAGGAGACCATAGAGCTGCCTAGAAAGACGCAATAACCAGTAACTGAACGGCGATTGTCAGGGCAAGAAGCCCAATCCGCATCAGAGTATGCTTTGAGAGTGAGAGATGAATCTGCAGAATACAGGAGCCCTTGACCAGGAGAAGATTTCAAATATCTCAAAACTCTGAAGGCAGCGTGTAAATGAGTAGAGCAAGGATTCGACATATATTGACTTAATTTCTGTACTGAAAAACAGATATCCGGCCGAGTTACAGAGAGGTAGATGAGCTTTCCAACTAATTGGCGATAAAAGGAGGCATCCTGTAACAGAGTGTCAGAATCTTTGGCCAATTTATCACGAGCATCCAAAGGAATCTGAACAGGTTTTGAGCCCAGCAAACCATACTCCTCCAACAGTTCTAATGCATACTTGCGCTGACATAAGTGAATCCCTTTAGCAGATCGAGATATTTCAATGCCCAGGAAATATCTCGGAGAACCGAGATCCTTAATCTGAAAATGGCTTTGAAGGAGGATCTTGGTAGATGTAATCATGGCAGCATCATTTCCAGCAAGCAGTAGGTCATCTACATATATCAATACCATTGTAATTTTGCCATCAACTTGCTGCTGAAAAACAGAAGTGTCAGCTGTAGATTGTTTAAAACCAGCATCAAGAAGTGTTCGAGAGAGCTTGATATTCCATTGCCTTGAAGCTTGCTTAAGACCATAAATCGATTTGTGTAGCCGACAAACAGAGGCGTCTGAAACTGTCTCCCCCGTAAGTAGAGAGTATCCAGGAGGGAGCTTCATGTAGATCTCCTCCGATAATTCTCCATTTAAAAACGCATTAGAAACATCCAATTGGGAAAGGAGCCAATTCTGCGAAGCAGCAAGAGCAAGAACAACCCTGACAGAAGTAAGCTTAGCTACCGGACTGAAAATATCCAAGTAATCCAATCCCTCAATCTGAGTATACCCCTTTGCGACCAATCGAGCTTTATGACGCTCAATAGAACCATCTGCATGATATTTGGTTTTGAAAACCCACTTGCAACCTACTGCTGCTTTACCATCAGGAAGAGTACACAGGTCCCAAGTTTTTGTGCGAGACAGAGCCTCTAACTCAGCTTTCATGGCAGACCTCCAAGTTTCAGATTTGGAAGCTTGGTTGTAAGTTTTCGGGTCTGAAGAGGTTAGGATGGATAGAGCAAAGGGTTTATATGAAGGAGTGAGTTTAGTGTAAGATAAGAAATGAGATAAGGGGTACAGGGTTGTGGGAGAGTGAGGTGGAGGGGTATTGTGATGTATGTGGTAACAATGATAATCTGAAAGATAGGCTGGAGGATGTGTTGCTCGCTGTGACTTTCGATTGGCCTCTTGATATTCAACTATTTGTAAAGGAGGAGGAGTTAAGGAGGGAGAAGAGGAAAGAGCTTTAGAGATAGAGGACGGAGAAGGAGAAATATGATTAGATGTTTGAGAAGAAGAAGAAACAGGGGATCGAGGAGAAACAGACACAGGAGGTGAAGTAATGTCTGGAATTGGGTCTTGTGGTAAAGAAGCTGAAGATGAAGAAGGAATAGATGAAGGGGACAAAGAAGGAATAGAGAGAGGAATTACTGAAGAATCAAAGTAGTAAGGAGAAGGATGAGGGGGAAAGAAATCTAAAACAACAGGAGATGGAGCAGATTTTCTGAAAGGAAAAATATGCTCATGGAAAACCACGTTCCTGGATATGGTAACGACATTTGTCTCTAAATTTAAGACTTTGTAACCTTTGATACCATGGGGATAACCCAAAAACACAGAAGGTGATGCTCTCGGAGAAAACTTATGTCGGTCTTTAGGGAGAGTTGAAGTGAAACATAAACAACCGAAAGTTTTCATGTGTTTGTAGGTAGGTTTGGTCTTAGTAAGTATTTCAAAAGGGGTCTGATGGTTAAGAACAGGGCTAGGAATACGGTTTATGATGTAAATGGCAGTTTTAATGCAATCACCCCAATATGCTAAAGGGATGTTCGATTGAAACAAGAGAGATCGAGCGACGTTTAGTATATGTTGGTGTTTTCTTTCGACAACGGAGTTTTGTTCCGGTGTGTAAGGACACAAAAAATAATGGGTTATTCCCTTTGTAGAGAGTAATGACTTAAAAGACAACTCAGGGGCATTGTCTGAGCGAATGCCCTTAACTTTGACAGCAAATTGAGTTTCAATATGGCTGAGAAATTCAGGAAAAACAGATAGAACATCACTCTTGGAATGAAGAAGATAAAGCCAGGTAGTCCGAGAGCAGTCATCAACAATTGTTAAAAAGTAACGATGGCCATCAACAGTTGGCATGTGAAAGGGTCCCCAGGTATCAATGTGTAATAAGTCAAAAGGATTTACAGACAAATGTCGACCAACAGGAAAGGAAAGTTTTCGTTGCTTAGCTAGAGGACATATACTGCAATCTGTATTAACAAAATTTGAAGGAATAAAAGACAAATTTGAAGAGGTGCTTGATGCTTGCACTTTGTAACTGGAGAGATGTCCAAGACGTTGATGCCAGAGATCAACGGTGGAGAGAGAAAAAGCTGGAGTAGAAGGCAGTGAATGAGAAGAAACTGAAAACGGCTGTAGAATGTATAAATTCTGGATAAGCTCACCCCTCCCAATCATCAAGCCCTGCATAGGGTCCTGAATATGGCAAGCATCATGAGAGAAAGACACCAAATAAGGATTGTGTTTTGTGAGGGAACTAACACTAAGAAGATTGAAACGAAAAGATGAGATAAACAAAACAGATTTGAGTACCAAAAAATCAGAAAGAGTGATAGTGCCAGATTGAGACACTGATAACATCGAGCCATTTGGCAAAGTGACTGAAATGGGTGAGATAGTATGAATATCAGAGAACCAAGCTAGATCACAGCAAACATGCGAACTCGCTCCAGTATCTATTATCCAGAGGGAGGAAGGTTGATGGTGTGGTTTTATGAGAGAAAGTATGTGGGTAGAAAAAGAAGAGAGGTTTATACCTGGTGTGGGAGATGGCTTAGGATCCGCAACCAAGTCTGAACTTGTGGAGGAAGGCCCGAGAAGCTTGAGCTGAGACTGAAAGTTCTCAAACAAGGCTTGAGCCTGTTCCATTGTAGAAGTCTTGGGCACATGTCCTGTCTCAGAGACAATCATATTAACAGGGTAATGATTCTTAGAGTCAGAACCTGACTTTGGGCGCGGCAGCAGAGGTGGTTTAGAAGACCCAAGAAACCTCGAAGAAGGTGGATAGCCATGCAACTTGTAGCAGCGGTGGACCATATGACCTTGTAGGCCACAATGAGCACAAACTGGACGAGACTTGGTCTGAGCAGTGAAAGAAGGTTTACCTCTGGTAAAGGAAGAAGCAGAGGTTTGAAACACCACGGAATCAGAAGAAGTAGATCGGGTCTGCCTTTGGTGTTCTTCTTGCGAAATCAAGTTATAAACCTTCGAAATACTGGGCAGTGGTTCAAGCATCAGAATCTGGCGGCGCGCAGGATAGTAAGACTCATTCAGCTTCATCAAAAACTGAACCACTTTTCGACGTTCACAGAGCTCGATGAACTTAGCATTTGCTTGACAGGTGCAACCACCACAAGAACAAACAGGGTAAGGTTCGTAGTTCTTGAGCTCTTCCCAGAGGGTATTGAGTTTGGTGAAGAACGTGTTGAGATCTGAAGCTCCTTGGTGCAGTGATTCAATTTTCTGCTCCACATTAAAGATCTTCGAGACGTTCTTCTGTTTGTAGCGAGTTTCCAAAGTTTGCCAAATGACATCAGCCTCGTCCAGATAGGTAATCAGTCTTGCGATTTCAGAGGAAACCGAGTTGGCGAGCCAGGTGCCCACCAGAGCATTACAGCGTGACCATGCTCCAAAATCGGGATGAGACTCCGATGGCTTCGGGAGTGTCCCAAAAATGAAACCAAGCTTGTTCTTCGTGATTAAAGCCTTGATAACAGAGCGGGACCAAAGGTTGTAGTTAGTCTCACCCTGTAATTTTTCAGAAACAAGGGTGAAACTGGAAGAATCAGCGGCATGAAGAAAAAGAGGATTTGCATAGGGATCAAGGTTATGAACAGAAGAAAGTTGGGGGAGAGAAACAGAAGAAGGATCTGGGTTAGGGTTAACTGGGGATGAGATTGAGGATGTAGAAGAAGGGATATCGGAGGTTGCAGAAGAGAGAGAAGGGGTGTTATCAGCCATGGCTTAGGTAACAAATGCGGAGGACGAACGAAAAAGAAATGGAAAGATGGGTAAGAAAGAGGCGAAGAAGAAATGAAAGGTATTATAAAAGGTTAGGTACGCTCTGATACCATTTTGCTATTTCTCAACAAGATGATTTCTGGGTTTCGAAGAACAAAGACCAGAAACCAAATAGAGAGAGAACACGAAGAAGAAAACTTTTCTCTTGTATATATTTCACCCCTTCCAAGACCACTGTACATCTCATATTTATATAACTCAATTAATGAAAAGAAATAAAAGAATATCACAAAGGCTAAAAAGGTGTTGTAGCATAGAGTCCAGAAAACCACCCTTGCACTAACGGGTTTCTCCTTTCACAGAGGCGTCAGAATCTGTCGAAACAATGTCGGATAAAACGACGGAACCAGAGAGAGAATGAGAAAAAAAAATGATGGGTTTCCATGGATTTCAGTTGCAGATGAGGTTCATGAACTTACGAAGAGGAAGATGAAGATCGCAAAATTTGTCGCTTGACAAATAAAATCTGACGTGGCACTGCACATCACAATCCACGTAGGATTGAATTTCAGTCAATATTGGTCAAATATTCGTACACTTTTAAACAAACGATTAGGAATTATTGTATCAATTTTTTCAAAGTTAAGGAATAATTAAATACACTCGCAAATTCAGAATTTTTTTTCTCGCAATTTGCAAGTTGACGAATTTTTAAGGATTTTCCCTATTTTATTTGATATTAATAATTAAACAGATATTATTAGATATATCTATGATAATTTTTTAAAATGAATTTATTTTGGATATAAATATAATTTAAATTGATTTTGAATGATTTTGAATATATATAAGTATATTTTTAAAAATAGATTAAAAAAATAATTAAAAATATTCGGGGTCGGATACTCGCGGATACCCGATAATTATCTCACGGGTAGTTTAATTCGGACACCCGATTTTATGGGTATGAATTCGAGTAATAAAATACATATCCGAGATATTCGGGTTTGAGTAACCTCATATTTTCGGGTACCCGACCCGCCACCCCTTCTGCTCCTAATCATATATATGCATCTACTAGCCCTAAATATCAGCATGCATAAATTAATGCCATGACTTGAATATACCCGTAAAAAGAGTTCGTATATGAAATCTTTTACATAAATGAAAGACTACACTGATGTGTATGTATAATATGGGCATGTACCTACATGCATGATAAAATGTATATATACGTCGTGCGCATACATTAAAATAAAGTAGTGAAATTTTCTACGTCATATATAATACATATGCATGCATAATACACACACATATACACAAGTTTCTTCACAACCAAGTACAAAGTACTCATTCATTCATTCACACACACACAAACACACACACACACACACATATATATATATATATATATATATATGAATACAACCAAAGTACTCATTGATTCACAAGAGATGCATACAAAAGAAAACAGTTTATGCTTTTTGTCTTCTGGTAACGGGATTTCAGCAAGGATAGAAGTTTGTCTGTATCGCATCACCGATCGAAGTTATTTCCCAAGATAATAATGAAAAAATCGAGGATGTGATAATGTTGAAAGCTAAGCATATAAAAAAAAAAATCATCCTATTTATATATTTAGGAATTTTCTCGGACCGAATCTTGATAGATCACTTTGTTGAAATGTACGAGACTTGCTTCAGAGATTATGTCATCGGCCTCGACGTCCCACCCTTAGGGTTGTCACGTGAAGGGAGAGCGAGTTTTTGCCTCCTCGGGTGCCTTCGACCAATCACAGCCAAGGAAATCGCCTTGTCATCGGTTGACGTGGCATTAGGGTAATAAGAAGATTGCACGTATGCATATCCATGTGAATAAATCGAAACCGCTTTTCATATGTATTTTTGTTTTTCAATAACAAAATTAAAAATTTTGGGCAATGCCCTCTAGGTGCAATGCGTTCGTCTACGTGTAGGGTTCGAACCACGCGACCATTAACGCATCGCATTTCTTGCCGATTATATCTAGATAATGTTTTATGGATTATTTTTTACGTCTTATAGGTGTTTGGTTCGTATAATAAATAAATACAAAAAAAAAACTCAATATATTTATACGATAACAGAATTCCGACATTATTTCCAAATCCCTCCTATTTGAGTTTTATTTTTCTTTCCTTTTCCGGTAAATAATTAAATTTCCTATATATATTGACAAAAAAAAAGTAGAAAAGGATTTGAGATAATAATGCATAACCTCACGTTAGCAAATTGAACATCAAGGTTTTCGCTCTAGTAACCTAATTAGTGTTCTCTATTGGCAAAACCAAAACTATCGACATTCAAAGATATATATATATATATATAGATTTCATCTAGTTATTTATTTCCAATAAAATCTTTTTAGTTGGATGTTCATTATCATCAACTAAATGTAACATTTGGGACTCAATTAGACAAAGCTACTAGATATATGCAAATAAATTAAAGACTCGGTTTTATGAAACGATTGACCTACAATTATTGGAGCCAACACTTCGACCTATAATGTATTATGAGTTAAGAACAATGAAGCTTGATTAGATCATACATGCTAGATCATACATGTTAATTTTATGTTCAAATTTTTTCAAAAGATACATCTTAAAAGTATAGAATATGAACAAGTTTAAATTCAATGGATCGGACCCAATATCATCGTAAAAGCATCGATCGATGTTAAAAATCATCGGCCCTATCCCGGCTCGAATTCGTTAGCCCAATTAATTAAAACCGAGGCCCAATGATAGATAAAATTCGATATTATGAATTCGTAAACAAATATATCATAAAAGTCGGAAAGAAAAGGAAAGATGATAAACCAATAACGGAATATATTAATTAACGAACGATCTCGTATAAAATATATAACTTTACCAAAAATCTCAAGATGAATGCTGAATTAACTCTGATACGTGAATTTTATATTAAAAATGAACTATCTAAATATTACCAAATTTTATACTCAAAAATTTATATTTCAATATTTTATCCAATGTGTAATATGACAAAATTTAGGTAGTTCATTTTTAATATAACACTGATCAAGGAAACCTTCATATTTATTTCAACGTTTAGTATCTATATTGATATTTTTTTAAAGTTAGATATTTTCTATAAGATTTTTTCGTGACTTTAACTACGAATTTACGACCAAAGAAAAGCAAAGATGGCACACCAATAATGGAATATGTAAATTTATCTCTATGTGAAATATGAATCTAGATAACGAGTCTAATATTTAAATGTAATTCAACGGATTTCTGTGAAGAATTCATTATTAGATATGAGTTTTATGGTTGCGGATTATATTGTAACCATGGGATTTTCTATTGCATATATATAAGGATGTGTTGATAATTTATGAAATATCATTTAATTTTCATGAATATGAATGCAGGTACGAATACTTTATGTATGAAGTAGTTTAAACACTCGTGATAATATGCATAGCTATCAAATCAATAAAAATGTTTAGTTATATGTAGTTTTATATAAAAGATTATGATTTTTTTTTCATTAAAAACCAAGACTCTTTCTACAACCCTTTTTTAAAAATATACATTTTGGTGCCTATAAATAAAATCATTATAGATCACGAAACAAAAAAAAAAAATAGGAAAAACTATTTTTCTTGAAAATTTAGAAGCTTTCTTCACAATTTTCTACATAAAATTAGCTTGATAATGAATTATCCATTTTATAAATAGAGTTTTTGTGTGATAATGATCAGAAACGTGAATTGAAATCATTGAACGTGTATCTAAAAAATATATTCGAATAATATCTATTTTCATAAAAATAAAATAAAATAGACACATTTTGAAAATGATTATACGTACCCATTAAAAATCGTATATGGATCCCTACGTATACGTACATTTTCACTATAATTTACACATTTATCAGGTCACGTTGTTCTAGCATATATTTTTTTTGTATTGAATTGAGTTTGAAAGCGTGCACTCGTCTTTTTTTTATTGCATGATCATTAATAATAAAATGGAAATTAAAGATTTGAATGGAATGGAGTGAAATGAATAAAATTTGATATTTTGAACACGTGGTTCTTATATACACGCCAGTGATCAGCCGACTCTGAATGGTAATACATAGAAGAATTACATATATAATAAAATGGACCACTAGAATATAATGAAATGGAAATTAAAGATTTGAATGGAGTGGAGTGAAATGAGTAAAATTTGACTCATTTATATTATTTTGCATCCCAAAAAGTGTAATCCAAAGACTCGCTTAAGCTAAATTCGGACATGTGCACGGCATTACCTATATAGATTGTAACCCAAATTTTTATAAGCCATTTCACGAGAAACCCTAATCGTCCATACACATATATATCTCACTGGATAAATATTGACAATAAACGAAATCACAGGGATCTAGGAATACATTATACATAGAGAGGAACAAAAGAGAAAACAATTCTTGATTTACAGAATTTATTGTATTTTTCTTTTAAGAAAAAATAAAAAACCACTAAACTTTACAATTTTGATAGAAAAAACACTGAACTTTTGTTTCTATCAAATAAATATTAAATTTTTTAAATGAATTTAGAAAAACACTAAACTTTTTAAATTATCCAAAAAAATATATAAACTTTTATGTAATTATAAAAAAAATACTAAATTTTTTAAATGGTTCAAAAAAAATAGATGAACTATGTACAATTATAAAAAAACAATGTTAATAATTTGACGTGTTTGCATCTTTTTATACCACGTCAGTTTATTTGTTTATTTTAATAATTATCGTAGAATAGTTAAGTATTTTTTTGACAAATTTCAAAAGTTTAATGTTTATTTGAAAAATCAAAGTTTAATAGTTTTTTTTTTGTCAAACTTTAAAATTTTAGTGATTCTTTTAGAATTTTCCCTTTTTTTCAACAATTTTTTTTTTGTATTTTCTATGAGAGACCCCGATTTCCATTACATATTATATGATTTTATATTATAATATCATTTTCTTTAATATTTTCTCTCGTAGTGCAAGTTGCAACAGCCGACTTTTTTTTCCCACCGCATTTGCATCTATAAATACATGCCTCTTCATCTCCCACACCTTAACGCCTCATCATCTCTGTAACAGTTTTGTTTACGTGAAGAAGATGATGAACAGAGGAACACAACCCAGTTACGTCCGCCATGGCTCCTCGACCATGTCGCCTTTCCGGCGCCAAAGCGTTTGCACCACAAACCACCAGGAA